CTATTAGGGGAAAAACCCAATACGACAATTGATGTTTGAAAGAATTCTGCCAATTTATATTTGCATTTTCTGCTTCTGATCTGTGCAGTATAGTTGAAAATCGGCAGCCTTTAAATAAATAAAAACAGAAAAATATATAGAAATAATTAAAATGTGAAATACAAATACATTACATACGAATTATTTTATATTTATTAACTTAGGACTTCCCCACTATTGTCCGTACAAAATAAAGAATGGACAAAAAATAGCTGTAATGGAAACGAAAAAACCAAAAGTGGAACAAATATAAAGATACATAAATGACAAATAGTATTGTCGATTATTTTGTGTTCACTAGAGATTCCATTTAAAATGTCAGCCTCTTGGATCTGGTACTTGAAAGCAAGGGCATGCCACAAAAAATATAATATAACTAGTTATGTAAAGAAAAGAATCAATAGAATAATTAAAGCAATTTAGAGGACTGCCGTGGACTTTAGGAATATGTCTACTCATTTAGAGGGTCAGCTGTGCCTTCATGCTTATGGAAGTATTTTCTGATCGAACGAATTGAACTTAAAAGCTTCTACTTGAAAGAACAGCTTAAAATCGAAACTCTATCAGTCTGGTGTCTATATTGAGATGTACAAGTATACTTAAAAATTGCACAGTACTTACAAGTATTTCTCGATTGAATACAAACCAAAAATAAGCTCGATAAACAAAAGTCTTCTATTTCAATTCTCGCAACGAATTATGTTCAAGTATTTATTAATTGAATAAAATGCTTTTAAGCTGCTTAATCGCTTCTCCAAGCGCACCAATTCCAACAGCGACCCGCAAATATTATCGCGAATGCCAGAAACGATGAGGGGGGAAGGGAGGTGAAGAGTTTAAAGTGAAGAATGGTATGTTGGCGAGGGCAGGTAAAAGGTGTGGGTAGATAGCATAAGACCCCCATGCATCACGACGCTGTTGACACTTCATAAATACATGAGTTGCACTCAGAACACAACAACATACCACATGCATGCATGTAAATGTGTGTATGCCATGTGTGTGTGTGTGTGTGTGTGTGTGCAATTGTTTTTCTTCATTTTGTTGCCTGGCTGTCGTTGTCGTTGTCGTTGCAAGCACTTCAACAAATTTACACGTGTATCACTCATACGCGCTGTTGGCATGCTATTTGCCACACACATACACACACACACACACACACGAACAGGCACACACCTCAAATAGTAGTAGTAGTTGCTGCTGCTGCTACTGCTGCTGCTGCTGCTACTGTTGTTGCTGTTATTGTCAACGCTTGTTTCATGCCTGAATCGGCGAACACGCACTGAGCGAGCGCGCAGGAAAAATAAAAGTAAAAATAAAAAATGAAACTAAATTTAGCAACAAAATTAAAAGCATGCACAATTTTTTTCCTTGCTTTTCATTGTTTTTCTTCATATACATATACTAGTAGTAGTTTTTTTTTTTGAATGTTGCCCTCGGGCTACGCCAAGTTGAGCGTGTGGGCCAGAAATAGTGCCACGAAGCATTTAATAGAGTACACGGTACAGCAGCAACAGCAACAGCTACAGCAACAACAACAGCCACAACATAACAGGGAAAATCACAACAAAAGCAACAACAACGTGAATGAGTGCAGCTAGTGCTTGAGTAGCAACTACAAGTATAGAAGTGGAAGTGAAGGCAGCGCAAGAAAATGAAAACGAGAAGAAAAAAATGAATCACCGACAAATTACGGTAAGAAAAGGAAATTTCGAAACGGAAATGGCGGCAGCATTTCGTTATGGCACATCATATATATATTTTCTTTTTTATGCATTCCTTTCCTCTCACACACACTTCCCTTCCACCCCTCACCAACATCACCACTCACACTTTCCCCCTCTCTTTAAGGCTTGTCTCTTTCGTTGGTTTTACAGCTACTGTTGTTTTGCCGCCTTCGTCAACCCCCCACCGGCCCCCTGCTCTTTATGGTCCCGACCAACACCTTTGACACAAGCTGTTGGGTCGACGGGACTGTAGTAAAAATTTCGCCATAACTTCAGCCAAAAAGGTCTTATGAAATATGCATATGCTCATTTGGGCACACAACCAAATGGCAGGCAGCCACACGCACACACACACACACACACACACACACACACACACACACACACACACACACACACACACACATACACAAGAGTTTGAAGCGCTGACAGTGTATGGAATCGGAAGGGAGGTGCTCGGCAGGCGTAAAATTTCATTAAAGTTGAATTAAAGTGTTTTTCCTTGAAGAGCACAAATAAATAAAATGAAAAGCAAACTAAAGATTTCCCTTTCCGCTGCCAGACAGTGGGCAGTGAGCAGTGGGCTGGACTTGAAGCAACTTTGTCACAAGTTGAAATGAAAGAGGACGTAAAATAAAAATTAATTTTTAATATTATTATATTCATAGTTTAAGCATAAGTCCATTCTATGTACTATGGCTTTAGTTGTGCCAGGATTCTGTCCTATTTCTGGATATAAATAATTATTTAAAGTGAAAAACAAATATTAAACTTTAAATTTAATATCTAACATTTTAACATAATTTATTTTGCACTACTTGCGTTGATTTAGAAATTAAATGCAAACCTTTGTGATCGCAAACAGCCCATTTTTAAAGTGGAAAATTGATCTTTCGAACGCAGTTATTCATTCGAATGATATGTATACTTATACAATAGGAGATTATTATGAAAATATTGCTAACGAATGTCAAAAATATATTCAAAGCTCAATTGTCCGATGATTTGACTGATGAAGAAGCCAGCTCATGGTGGCTTTTAAAGCGAAACTTTCAGGGATATTATGCACAAACAAATATGTGCCAAACCGTGAAAGCCACTTTAATGCAAAAACATCCACTAGATATTCTGCTTATCACACTAATATATTGTAAATAGATTAGTGAGAATGAAAAGTGTTCATGCTTCGCATTCATATCGTTTCTATGACAGCTACTGATATAATCGTCTAGTCCTGTTCGATATCGACACTTTAAATTTTCCGTCTCATCATTCTGATCATTCTGATCATTTTAGTATTTATTTATTCAAAAAAAGAAAATAAACTCTTCCTTTCCTTGGTTATTCCAGATATTGAAGTTTTTGGGATCTTTGCGTTCATCCGGACGGACAGACAGACGGACAAATGGGCGGACGGACATGTCCAGATCGAATGTATAGTCTTTATGGGGTCGGAGACGCTTCCTTCTGCCTGTTACATACTTTTCGCAAACCTAACATACCCTTTTCACCCTACGGGTACAGGGTACAAGTATAACAATATACCCATTATACGAGGGGTATACAAATTGGAATGTATTAAATTAAAAACAACAATTTAAACAAAAAAAGAAACCGATTTCAAACTATTAACAGGCACTAAAAAGTAAAAAATAATTGCGTATTCTCCTACAACTTAATATTCAATATATAATGTAGATACAATTATTGTTCTTTTTGGAGTCGGTGTCAGCGGTCGCGCGCCGCGCCAGTCAAGAGAAAGAAGCACTTCATTACGAACCATTTCAGATTCTTTTCTCTTTCTATATCTACTTACTACTATATCATTCTTACGGTAATTCCTTGTGTTTAATGTTGACTATATTTTCGTATCAGCATTTCCTTGATTAGCCGTATGTCTCAGCATAGTGTCGTATTAAAATTCGTTTGATTCGTTTAACTAGGTACCGGTTTATTTGTTGTTTCAAGGTAGCAGATATTGTCACAGTAGTTATACGTGTATTGTCCTATAAAAGTTAATTTGAAATTGGGTTTAATTAGGTATTGGTAATCTGTCACAGTACTTGTATATTATCGTTCGTATAAAAGTTAATTTGTAAAAAAAGTATTTCTTAAAGTATTCTCATATTATTACTGGTAGATTGATTGAATGATTGATATATTGTAGTGTTTCCTTGGCTGACACCGACTTGTGTAAAATAACAATAATTGCATCTACATTATATATTGAATATTAAGTTGTAGAAGAATACGCAATTATTTTTTACTTTTTAGTGCCTGTTAATAGTTTGAAATCGTCACTCTTGTTCTCAATATATTTTGTCGAAAACGTTCATCACACTGTCTGTCTGTCGTCTGCGAATATCTTCTGTTCTAATTTGTTGAGCTGCGGCTCTTGTTGCAGTTTGTTCTTCTGACTTTTGAGCTTTTAGAACGCTGGGGTCGTGTATGTTTGCTACACGCATTGTTACGGTTAGATTTTTTCGACGGCATTATACTGAAATTGAAATTCTATTTCACATGATATCTCATTTAAATTTGACACTCATCTACCAGGTGCCTTCGAATGATATCTAAAACCCATGAACATTTTGTATGTTTTAAGAATTATATAGATTTCTCATGGATGCCACTGTCAGAATTGGACTAAATTGAAATGGGACCACATGGGAATCATCAGCTTTTAAATACAAAAGGAATCATTTAAATCGGTTTACACTGTCTAAAGTTCTGAGGTAACAATGAACAATACAGTCGAATTGAGAACATCCTCGTTTGCAGAACCTAACCAAACTCTCATCAAAGTACCCTTAAAGTACATCCTTTCCAATAAAAAAAGAATCATCGTAATCGGTTATCGTGATAAAAAGTTATTCGTTCATTTGTCTTGCACATACTTAATACAAATTTAAGACTTATGCTGTTTTCTCATGGATGACATTGTCAGAATTGGACTAAATTTATATGGGACCATTCTGGAAGCACCAGCTTTCAAATGGTATAAGAACCATTAAAAACAGTTCACCCAGTCGAGTGTACCGAGGTAACAAATATAAAAAAATAAAAATAAAAAAAAATACAGACGAATTGATAACCTCCTCTTTTTTGAAATCGGTTAAAAATGGGAGACAAGTGTCTAAGCAAATATTATCGAAATACTTGTTTCTTGTCAAAACATATATTTGTTTGCTTTTTACACACACTGTTGAAAATGTCGCCAGCCAAGACGCAACCGCAGGGGAAGAACCGAAATAACTTTAGAAAGCTTGGAGTACTGATCTGGAAGAATATAGTCGTACAGATGGCGCACAAGTGTCAGTTGAGCTTAGCAATAATATTGCCGCTTGTGGTTGCAGTGCTAATAGGCCTTTTGGGAAGCCTTGTGAATTTAATGGATACCGGTTCAGAGGTACAAATTTTACCTACTGCGCCATTCCCCGCGGATGTTGTAAAGGAAAGAATATTGTATGTATATATATGCTTAACACATGAATTTCTAAAAGGATTCTGACCATTTTTTAAGGACTCGCCTTAAAAAGTCTTTGGTCGCTATGGTCCAAGTTGGTCAGTTTTATTGTAAATTCTAACTTCCCCACACTATCTTATTTGGCTTGTTTCTAAGCCAGAAGGAATGTTAAAAAGAGATGGATTATCCAGTTAATGAAAAAACAAGATACAAGTAGAACGCTACGGTCGAGCAAGCCCGATCGTAAAATACCCTGTACTCTCCACAAAAAAAGAAAACTAAAAAAGTACTTAAAAAATGTAATTAATTTAATTAGTTAATTAAATTATATATAAAATATTCAACACCTGCGTACATACATAAGTGTTTATGTACAATTTCAGTAGAATAAATTTACACCAGAATCGTGTCTCTGCTTGTTTATATGCGTGTATGTATGCAGCACAAAGTTGAACGGAAGCAGCAACAACAACAACAACAACAGCTGCGGGCAGAGCATGGGTAGCGATTTTATTTATGACTATAACTTTCTTTAGAATTGAGCAATCATGATCAACTTAACATACAGACACATAATCACTGACGGGATGTAGTTACCAAACAGCTTCCAAATCATAATTAGCCGCAATCACGAATTACGGGAATACAATACGATAGAGAAATAATCCTAAAATCACTTAATCTTCATAGCTAAGTCTCTCAAATGTAGCTTTAAATAAGCGGATATTAATTTGCAAAATATATTGATAGTCTAATACAACAATCTATATACAATTATATGCATTGCCGATTAATCTAACTTCATTTAATAGTACACGTTTGGAATCCGTCATATACTCACCGAAGAATCCACGTATCGAACGCGTAGTTAAGAAGGCTGCGGAAACACTGAAGTTAACAGACTTAACAGGTTTTGACAATGACCTCGAGTGGGCGAATCGTCTGAAGAGTAGGCTGTATACTGCCGGCATTGCGTTTGATAATGCGCTCACTGATATGAAGGAGTTTCCCTCCAAGATTGATATTACCTTGTCTTTTCCATCCATGACAATACAACCGGACGTCACTGAATCTAAAGATGATGCTCTGATGCCTTTTGATGATTTCTGCTTAAGCATCTATTGCTCTGGTTTTCTAGCCGTGCAGGACACTTTGAGTAGAGAATTGCTGAGGGAAAAGTCACCTGGCAAGACTATACCCACTGTTTTAATGCAATATTTCCCACTCGCTCATACTGCAGTAGATGATTTTCGGGGAACATTTATAAAGACGGCCGCCTTTTTCCTATTTGTAATACATGCATATCCTTGCGCATGCGTTGCTCAGGTACGTAGACGCCAACATGTTTGTTCTTTTGTGAGTAAACACATCATTATGAATCCTTTTAATCACACACTGATTGATCCAATACCATAGAAGATATTGTCTTTAAAACCAAACCAAGCAGACCGCTTGAAATACTTAGTCCAATCATATAACCAATACATCTTGGTTCAAGTTAGCTTTGGAGATCAAAATTTGATTTATTCTTATAAAAATTCCGTAATACACATTTTCTGCGTATTCACATAAGGCATCTTTGACTAAAGTTTGGTGTCCCTATAGTATCCGAGATATAGGGGCTTATACGAACGGTGATTCCAAAGGGGGAAGTAGGGGGGTGATTCAAAACAATTAAGCAAACTTGTGTAGCGTACACACATAGGGTATCTGTGTGCAAAATTCGGTGTCTTTATCTCTTAACATTTCTGAGATCCAGGTGGTAATACGAACGGACAGACAGACAGGACAATATCGACTCGTCTGGTCATGGTGATCAAGAATATAAATACTTTGTGGAGTCTGCCACACCTCCATCTTCTGCCTGTTAAATTGTTCACCTCCCGCAAACCTAATATACTCTTGTACATTTCAAGTAGCGAGTATAATCAGCCTTTACTTAGTTTCTTTGTCAGCTTCAGGATTTAGTTGCCCATTGGGCTGACAAGTTAGCAAACCATCAATAGGAACCATCCTGTCCCATTGTAGTGAGAAACTCGACTTGCAATGCGTGTTCTCGAATTGAAGTCATCACTCTGAGTCGTAGGCTCATTAAAAGCTCATGAGGAACAATTATAAGGACACTGATGAGGACTCACATTATAAATTTATTATATTTCCTTCTTATCAGTAATCATAATCTTATGAATGCACTGGCATTCATTGATTTTCTTTCAGACCTTGTTGGTGGAGAAGAATAAACAGCTAAAGGTGACTCTGGCAATAATGGGTGTGGCAGTCTGGCTACACTGGCTGGCCTGGTTCATAAAGTGGTTTCTATTTTTGAGCATAGGGGCAGTTGTGGTTGCGTTAGTTTGGGTAGTGATAGGACCATTTGTTTTTACCAGCTCTGTAGTTATTCTGCTTATCCTGCTGGTGTATTTAATACACATCATAAGTTTCGCTTTTTTAATAAGCGCCATTTTCATGAGCACCATGAGGGGAATTTTGGTATGTTATTTGCTATACATTGCTCAATATGTTCCCTACATAGCTACACCATATAATGCTCCCGATATAGCAAAGATTATCGAGTGTCTACTTTTGAATAGTGGTATGTGTTGGGCATTTACAACAGTGCAAGATTTTGAGCGCAGTAGGAAAAAATTGGGAGTTGGCACATTGTTTACGCCTATTAGAGAGAGCTTATCAGTAGGAACTGTAATGATTCTAATGCTCCTAGGGTCTCTGATAAATGTGATTCTGTGCTTGTACTTTGAGCAAATACGTCCCGGAAATATTGGCATATCTAGAAAATGGAACTTCCCGTTCACGCGCAAGTTTTGGTGTCCGCGTCGAGAGCCTGGAGATGACAAAAATGGCGATTGGGATGAGGAAAAAGGGGTGGATGTGCGTAGAGAAAGTATTGAACAAAATTTTGAGGCTGGGCCAAAAGGGAAGACGATAATTGTGCAGGCCCAGCATTTGACAAAGTCCTTCCATGGCATCAAAGTTGTTAAGAATTTTTCATTGAACCTGTACGAAGATGAGCTTACAGTCCTGCTGGGCCACAACGGAGCTGGAAAGACGACAACTATAATGATGATGACTGGAACTTATAAGCCCACGTCTGGGCGGGTGATAATCAATGGCTACGATATGGCTACGGCTCCAGAAAAGGCGCGTAACTCGCTCAGTATCTGCCCACAACATAATGTCCTCTTCGATGATCTGACAGTGGAGCAGCACATTAAGTTCTTTTGTACGATAAAGGGCCTGGAGAAAAACGAAACTAACAAACAGATTCAAAAGTATGTGCTTTTATTAGACCTCAAATCAAAGGCCATGGTCCGATCACGACAACTTTCCGGTGGTATGAAGCGCAAACTCTCAATATGCTGTGCCCTCTGCGGTAACACGCGCGTGGTGTTCTGCGATGAGCCCAGCACTGGATTGGACCCATCGGCGCGTCATGATCTGTGGAGTGTTCTGCAGAAGGAGAAAACCGGACGGTGCATTCTGCTAACCACACACTATATGGACGAGGCAGAAGTATTGGCCGATCGCGTAGCCATAATGGGCGATGGCGAACTGCGTGGATATGGCACTACGTTCTTTATGCAACAAAATATTAGTGCAGGCTATCGACTGGTAAGTTGATCCTATCTTCAGAGTTCTTACTCTTTTTAGTAATCCGATTTAGTTAAGGATTGATTACAACGACTGTACCCCCTACTTCTCAATAGATATGCGTACAGCTGGAGGACTGTGATGTAGACAAAGTTACAACATTTCTGAAACGTTATATTCCCAAAATCACTCTGGAACGCACTGTGGGTACGGACCTCATATATCGCCTTCCACCACAGGAAACCTCCAAGTTTGAGAATATGTTTAAGGATCTGGAGAAAAATCTGGAGGACCTACGATTATATGGCTTCGGTCTGAGTCCCTCAACGTTAGCGGATGCTTTTATGACAATCGGTATGACAAAAAACAAACTTCCAGATGACTCTGGAAAAGCAACTACGTGGGGTTCACAGACTGGTGAGTGTAGATGCAAGAGCTGGGCATTTCTAGAGAAAGAATCTTACCTTTTTTAAGGCTATCCACGCTTTAATTAATCTAACAGCAGTGAGTTATACTGCCGTGCCCATCTCTAATAACACAAAATGCGAGTTTTCTTTTAACGGGGCTCTCAGGCTTTCAGATAAGGGACGATATAAAGAAAAAGGAAGGGAGGAAGTGTATGTGCTGCGATCACTTTCCACCCATGATGCGGAAGAAAATACTGCACACCTATCGGAAAAAGGGCATATTTCTGACACTTACGTTGCTGCCAGTAGCAATATTTTTGCTTACTGAAATAATCGGAAAACTATTGCCATCAGAAAAAGAATCGTTAAAATTGGATTTAACACTATTCAGCAATGCGATGGTAATGTTTCATACAACAGCCACCAAAGAGCCATTCAAATCGATAGCGGAGCGTTACAAGTCGCTCGCAGAGAGCAAGGGGGCCAAAATAAAGAGTATGGATTCTGAAATTGATGAATATACGAAAGATCTAATCAAAGACAAATTGAAAGCATTTAAAAAATCATGTGTCGGGGGAGCTACAATTACAGACAAATTGATGCTAGCTTGGATAAACCCAGCCCAGGCTCACTCTCTTCCTATTTCTCACAATCTTCTCTATAATGCTATTGCCAAGGTCCTAGTTGGGGATGATATGGAAATCGGGATTACGAATAGGCCAATTAAGAGAGAATCACCGGTTAAATTAAGTTCTATATTTGCATCTGTGACATTAATAATGGCGTTTGATATCGCCGTCTTCATCATATTGCCCGTTGCAGAACGTTATTCACAGACCAAATTGCTGCAGATTGTCAGCGGTTTGGCCTATTGGAACTACTGGCTGACGCACTTTGTATGGGACTATCTAATTTATTTGGCCATAGCATTAGTATTTGTCATCATTTTATTGATTGATTCTCAGAGCTTCCTGTTTGATATAGTAATCCTTCTTATTTTGTTCGGCCTGGCGGGGCTACCGTTTACTTATCTGAACTCTATGCTTTTTAAGTTGTCAACCGCAGCCTTTATCGTCTATAGTATTCTGAATTTATTAATCGGTGAGTCCAGCACATGACATGCTTCTTATACCCTGTACCCCTAAGGCAAAAAAGGTATATTAGGTTTGTGAAAAGTATGTAAAATGCAGAAGGAAGCATCTCCGACCCCATAAAGTATTTTTATTCTTAATCCGCATGACGAGACGAATCGATGTAGATATGTACGTCCGTCTGTCCGTCCGTCTGTCCGTTCGTCTGGGAGAACATAAGGATCTCAAAAACTATAAACGCTGGAATGACCAAACTTGGTATCGAGAGGTCTCAGAAAGGACGAGCTTATTTTAATTTTATTAATTTTCCCCCCTCCACACGCCAAAACTGACCGTATTTTGAAAGTTTTATAAGCCAAGCTTTGCGACTGTAATCTATATACTTGTACAATAATCTACTGTTGTATTAAATTCGTTTCACATCGGTTTTTATCGGAAAAGTTATTAGTGAAACAACTTCACTGCTGTACTACGACCACAAACACAGTGCCGGAAGTTAGTGTGGGTACAGGGTATTTCACTGTCAGCCTTGATCGACTGTAGCGTTCTTTCTTGTTTTTTTTATACCAACTTCATTTTGTTACCTTCAGGTATAATTATTCATTCAGTTGTGCAGGCTTCCCTTCAAAAATATCCTGTTTTAGATAACATTGCTGCCATTTTGATGATGCATCCGATGTATGCATTGGCCGAAAGCAGTGGAATAATAGCAGAAAACATTAACAAATTGCAATCTGATCAATGTGTGGATAATCAGAAGGGATGCAAAGACGACCTAAAATCAATTATGACATGGAGACCAATACATTTTTTATTGATAGAAGCTATTCTTTACTTTGCAATATTGATGCTCCTCTCTGTATATTCGAGACGGTTGCAATACTGCCTTGGAAAACTGAAGCCTAATACTTGGTGGGTAGTTCTGAAAACCTTTCCTAAAGCTCATTCATATTTGTGATTGCGGTTGTTAGGTCTGTGGCTGCACTAGCAGACACTAAGGAAAAGGATAAGGATGTATTAAAAGAGGAGAAGCGTGTTTCAGAGATGACTGAGGAGGATATTGAGGCTCAAAATCTTGTGCTTGATCACGCAGTAAAGGCATATGGAAAGTTGGTAGCTGTGCGCGAAATTTCGCTGGCCGTAAAGGCGTAAGTAAGATGCAGTAGCGCATCGATTGGTTGCGTTTGATATGGTTCTTCCAATAGATATGAGTGCTTCGGGCTACTTGGATTAAATGGTGCCGGAAAAACTAGCACCTTTAACATGATCGTTGGCGAGCAGTTGATCGACAGCGGCAACATATATATCAAGGGGATCAGCGTTAAATCGAATGCGAGAAAAGCCTTAAGACATGTCGGCTACTGTCCCCAAGTTGATACGTATTGGAACTTTTTGACAGGACGTGAGAGTCTGCATATAGTTTTCCAGCTGCATCGCGTCCAAAAAGCGGATATCAATAATTTGGTGGAGCAAGTGGCTAAGTATTTTCAATTTCGGGAGCATCTGGACAAGCTGGTCCGTAATTACAGCGGCGGCACAAAACGAAAATTTACTAGCGCTCTGTGCGCCCTGGGATCAACATTAATGTGCCTCGACGAGCCTACGACAGGCATTGATCCGGCTGCGACGCGTGAAATCTGGGACGTTCTGACACGCATCCGGGATTGCGGTAAATCGCTATTGCTTACCTCACACAGCATGGAGGAGTGCGAGGCACTCTGCTCGCGCTTAGCCATTATGGTGAACGGCCAGTTTTGTTGCCTGGGCTCCCTCCAGCACATAAAAAGCCGTTTCAGCATGGGCATGGTTATTCAGATTAAAGTGAGCGACAAGGATGAGTTGGACAGGGCCAAGGCAAACATGAAGTGAGTTTTGAATCATTTAGCACTTTCGTACTCATACATCCGCTTTGATGAAACATATATTAGGAGGGAAAGCCAAGCGCGGCCAGATCAGCCGGACATTGGAAAAAGTAAATCAGCTTCTAGAAGCTTGGCTACTACCCCTATACAGTCAGAGGAAGAGGAAGAGGCCACGACCAGCAACGCTATCAGCAGTTCTACAAGCGGCGAAAACAAACACGGCGACCACGAGCGATCGACGAAGCGGGACAAAAAGGCGGATGAGAAAAAAAAGCGTGGGTCTGCTTCACCAACAAAGCCAGACAAAAAGGTGGACAAGGTGGACAAGCCAGACAGTCCGTCCACATCGCAAGAAACAGTGAAATCAAATAAAACTGAAGATGGCAGCGATAATTTAGAGGCCTTAATCGATAAAGTGGTGAAAAATTTCACTGAGAAATTTCCCGATATACAAGTAGTGTAAGTGTGGTTCAATACGACTAACAATCAAACGCACTTTACTAAATCAGCATCCACCTCTTTAGAGAACGAAACGGCTATCGCGGCATGGTCACAATGCATTTGCCCAACAAAGATGTCAAATGGTCTGAAATTTTTGGCTATCTTGAGAAAAATCGTGAGAAGCTGCAAATATTGAGTTACTCCATTGCCCAGACGTCTCTCCAGGAAATCTTTATAAAGTTTGCACATGATCAAAAATGATGGGCGAAGAGCCATTTTATTCAAAATAACAAAATTACATATTGTTCGAAAATTAAAAAATGTTTCACTGAACTCTCAATTAAACTCATTTTGGGAATGAATTTTAGCATACTCTGCCCCCGTCTCCTCTCTCAACTAAAGTCCAACTCTAATGCAATGATTCTTGGACCCCATAAATATGGTGTTCGATTGACTTGTGACTACATTCATTCATGAAAGTCGGCGACTCTCGTATCGTGTCATCAACAATGTGTTGCCAGCATTTCCAATGCTCATATTAAACAGCCTGAGATCATAGTAAGCGAGAACATGTTTCAACAGATACTCAACCAAATTTGAAACTGTCAGTGCAGACCAAATCATTTCCATTCTCACATTCATTCGAACAACCATAACCAACTCCAAAAAAATTCTCATAGAATTTGCTCAAAATGTTTCCATTAACAAACAAAACGATTATGGGCATTTGTGGAGGAGCGGCCAGTGCGATCTTTATCGGCTATTGCATATACTTCGATTACCAACGTCGCGCTGATCCCGACTATAAAAGAAAGATACGCGAGCGCCGTTGGCGCGAAGCAAACAGACGGAAGACCGTCCATAACTTTGGCATCGAGGAGATGCCAATGCCGGACAGCAACGACACCGAGGCCATGGAGAATTACTTTCTCCACCAAATGAAACTGGGCGAGCTAATGATTGCAAACGAGCGTCTGGGCGACGGTCTCGATCATTTCGTGAAGGCTATGATGGCCTGCTCCCAGCCGATCCCGTTTATGGAAATGCTCCAATCAACATTGCCGCCGGAGGCGTTGCAGACCTTCGTGGCCAAATTACAGGAGATCAGCAAGCGGCACAGCGAGAGCGAAATGGAGTCTGGGGCAAGCTCGGAAACCACTAGCTCGACACAGACCGAACCTGTACACTCTGCTATTTTGATGCCAGTGCCAGAGATCGAGTAGAGCACGTATCCAGAGAGAACCAAACTTTTCTGAACGTAAATTCATTGTTTGTTTCGTTTGATATCCACGGAGCTTCCTTCCTTCCTTCCTTCCTGGCCAAATTAATAGATGCAAAATTATTAACTGCAAGACATTTTTGAGCGTCCAAAATAAATGTTCAATTCTTGACCATAAAATGCTGACTAAATGAACTTTTGTGCTGGCATAGTGTCTTTCGATCAGAGAGAGATTTGTACGATTTGGCAAACTGCTAAAGGGTTTGAACTCCCAGTGGATAGCCGTGTACCTTAAGGACTGGATAGTATTGCAGGTGTTTCTCTAGAGGAGCTGGTGAGATTCATGAAGGGCTCTGAACTGTGTGAACAGGAACTGTGTGTCGGAGCTGTTTGGCCCTGTACTTAAAGGAGCAGCTTCTATTTGGAAGGCTCGAAATAACAGATGCGGGACGTTTGTCAACTTTCTTCCTCGTAGAACATTCGTGTATTAAGTGTTTCGTGACTAAATTGAATCAAAATAAATTGTTATTAAGGTAGTATTCATTTAGTCTTCACCACGTGCTCAGTAATCTTGTCCTCATCCATGACGTCATGGCTGTGAAACCAAAAGCGCTTATGGCATCCGGACTACAGGCGGATACTATGGCCCGAGCAATGACATTAAACAATTCGTTGTGATTCAAATTCGGGCGCCAAAGGCTTTCGCACATTCTGTACAGCTGTTTGTAATAAGTGCCGGACCCGGCAAAGGAATCGCATGTGTTGGGACAACCGAAAAGGTCCAGGTGGCAAACGAACGGCTCCAATGAAACGGAGTCCAATCCGGCCACAATCGGCTCCACGTAGTACGGCCCAAAGCGGTGCTCGTAGAGGAAGTTCGAGAGCAAATCATGTGTGCCGGTCACAGATGGATGGACTGGATAGCGCCGAGTCGCCTAAGCATGGATGTGCCGTTCCCCTCAACCTTATTCTCATTTTATTCCCTTATCCTTAGGACACACCCAACCATCAGAGCAGAGATGGTATCAGCTTGTATAAGAATTGATGCCAATTAAATAGTCTGTAAATTTTATTTGCTCATAAGAAACAAAACACCTTTTGAAAATTTGAAGCCGAAACTCTTCTCTACTGTGGTTGGGCTAGTTAGTGGAAGTGTGTGTATGCGCATCACTCGATGTCTATGCCCAGAAAACTGCCCGACGGCTCGCCACTCGATGGCTCAGTGCTCAGCTCATTGCCATCCGAGTCGCTGTGGCCCATACTCATCTCGCGCAGCTTGAAGACGAGCGTTTGGAACACTTGCGGTGGTAACGTCGACTGCAACATCTGGACCAGGGGCACTGGCTGCGAGCAGACCGCAATTGCACAGGCCAAATGATCGAGACCCTCGTTCACCTGACCCTGTCCAATTAGGAGCTCGCCCGCCTTAATCTCCTGCAGGAAATAGCGCTCCATGGCCTCCTCGTCGTTCAGGTCGGGCATTGAGCTTCTGCCATTGCTGCCTGCCTTGCGTCTGTGCTCCGCTTCCCGTTCAGCTTCGCGTTGACGACGCTGATGCACCTTCTTCTTGTAATCGGGATCAGAGCGACGACGCCGATCAAAGTAGATGCAGTATCCAATCACGAGTGCGCCAACCGCACCGCCGATAATCCCCAGGCACGTTCTGCTGGCTGACAACATTTTGGGGAAAATTTGAACTGAATGATTTTGAAGCATTTGAATAGAACAGATGTGACAAAACGAGACGCAGCTATACCTAAACAATTTTTATTTTACTCTCAACACTTTGACAGTTCGTGACTTGATTTACAAATCTGTAAATAAAGTTCTCCTATGTATAGTATATACATCCATCTGCCTATTCTTCTGTGATTACTCCTCTGGTCTTTTGACCTAATATTCTCCTCATAAAGATATCTCAGAGAGAGGGGCTGCGATATCATTCTCTTGTTCAAAAAGGCCAAGCTGCATGAGTTCTCTATCAACAATATTTCAGATAACTATGCGTACAAATGTATAATGAATTTTTATCTTGTAATTACCAGAATATGTTTACAATGAACTTTTATACATGAAGACCGATTTGACTATCAATTTTAAAATTCAGAGATAGTTTTGGGAAAAAAGGAAATCCCAAGTCTATTAACTGTCTTTATTACCTTCACATTGTGTACTCTAATAAGCTCGTATGTACGTTTGTCACAGAACTGACTAATCATTTATAAAGAAAAAGAGAGAGAGAGAGAGAGAGAGAGAGAGAGAGAGAGAGAGAGAGAGACAGATGAGGAAGAAGTAAGGCACTCTTCCAGCGAGGTAATTGTTTCGTTTTGTTCTACAATATTTATTGTTTGGTCCGTGCTCACAAAGATAGTAATAAATTAAGCACACAGCAAATGATTCACAAACATTTTGCCATTTTTTGTGTGCTGCTCGCCCTGTCATTATTTAACGGCTTACCGAATCCTTGCCCCTTTCATAATTTTTGCTGATGCGTACGCAAATAAACACGCACCGGCAGACGCACACACATTCGAGTACATATATTTGTATAAATTCACATGTAACGCTGACGTGAAAGTATTTATCACAGTGACAAAATCACGCACTCGCAAATGTATTCTGGCCGAGAGGAGGGAAAAGATACCCATTACTTTGGGCCTTAAATGTAACACATTTACAAATTGTTTACAAACTGACACAACCACCCACACACTCGTGTGTGTGTGTGCGTGATTGTGTTTGTGTGAAACCCATGCACACTCGCTCTTCCAGGGTGATAAATGATAACAAATTAGCGGTTTGTCTCTTAAGCGAAAAAGAGCACAGCGTCCCACTCACACACAAAAACAGAGAGCAAGAGAGAGAGAGACTCACCTAAAAGTTACCACAATGCAATAAATCACATCACCTGGCACAATCACACACACATACACCCAAGTACCTATGTATTAACGGGCACACACACGCCCGCATTCACGCACACTCGCCCGAAATGGCGGTGGCAACAAAATGGTGACCCCGACGCCCATCCACAATTTAAGCAGTTAAGGTCTCCTCAGTTCCCTGCTCTGCACCGTTGCTTTCGTGTAAGAACTTGCTTTCTTATGCATGCATGAGCGTTAGGTCCCTATTCCTTTACCTACTACATCTACACCTCCACCATCGCCCCGTTCCGAGGCTCGAGTCTGTGGCAATCCCGCAATCCTTTTTTGCTCAACGTGCACAGCACATTTATGAGTGAAGCGCCTGCCTCAACTGCACTGGGGCCTCATCTCGTTTGGGTGTTAAGTGTACTTGCGCATAATTCATGCACACTCACCCACGTACACAGATACGCATACACATACACACACACACACACACTAACAGCTCGTTGGCGAACATATGATGGGGGGCCACCGACTAGGCCATGCAGTCAACATTTTAATTATCATTTTCAGATTCGTTGGTAAAGCTACAAAATTTAATGAGCAGCAGCAACAAAATGCGGGCCCAAATTGGAGCCACGAATTAGTGAAGGAGTGACGATGGCGGCGAAGGTGGAAGGATACTGCTGAATTCCAAGGCCCACGCACAGTACCAAGTCACAGGCACGGTCGCGAACTTATTTCATTACATTTTAAAAGCCACACGCTATTTGTTTTACAGTTTTGCTTCCTAATGAAGAAACTTGATAGCTTCATACAATTCTGTCTGTGTGCGTCTGTCGGTTTTCCATGTGTTGTAGTGTCCAGTTTCCTACTGGGCTGGTGGTCTAGCAAGCTTTTACAATTGTTGCATTTATTTTTGGCAAACGTTATCGCGCTCTTAGGTCACCTTGGATAAGCAGCCGTAGCATCGTATGATTATGCCGTTGTTACTTATCTTATTATTGCACCCACGCATATGCATAGCATTGTTGTTGATTTAGTAAGTTCGGCTTCGGCTAAGTGCAGCTTCACGCTAACTAGCGGCGCGCCGATCGAACATGAGTACAGCGACTTTTGAGCAGTGCTGACGAATATTTCTTTTGTGCGTGTATACTATACACATATATTTAAAAAGTTAAAGCGCATGTTCTTGTTACACAA